AGTAGTAGTAGTAGTAGTAGTAGTAGTAGTAGCAGTAGTAGTAGTAGCAGTAGTAGTAGTAGTAGTAGTAGTAGTAGTAGTAGTAGTAGTAGTAGTAGTAGTAGTAGTAGTAGCAGTAGTAGTAGTAGTAGTAGTAGTAGTAGTAGTAGTAGCAGTAGTAGTAGTAGTAGTAGTAGTAGTAGTAGTAGTAGTAGTAGTAGTAGTAGTAGTAGTAGTAGTAGCAGTAGTAGTGTAGCAGTATAGTATAGTATAGTAGTAGTAGTAGTAGTAGTAGTAGTAGTAGTAGTAGTAGTAGTAGTAGTAGTAGTAGTAGTAGTAGTAGTAGTAGTAGTAGTAGTAGTAGTAGTAGTAGTAGTAGTAGTAACTGTGTGTATTTGTGTTCCAGGTGGCTTGTTTATCCGGAACACGGATCAGGAGTACACCGCGTTCCGGTTGGCGATTTTTCTGCACAACACGAGTCCCAACGCGTCCGAGGCGCCGTTCAAACCTCGTCCCCCACGTGGACAACATCGAGACCGCCAACAGCTTCGCCGTCACCAACGCCTGTAAGTCCCCGCCCCTCTACGCATCACAACCTCACCGCATCAACCCCCGCCACCCCTGTACGCATCAACCACCCGCCACGCCCCTGTACGCATCACCACCCCGCCACACCCCCCGTACCATCAACCACCGCACGCCCCCTGTACGCATCATCACCCCCGCCACCGCACCACGCCCCCTGTACGCATCATCACCACCGCCACGCCCCCTGTACGCATCACCACCCCGCACCACCACGCCACCCCCTGTACGCATCATCACCACCGCCACGCCCCCTGTACACATCACCACCACCGCCACACCCCCTGTACGCATCATCACCCCGCCCGCCCCCTGTAACGCATCACACCACCGCCCCCCTGTACGCATCACCACCACCGCCACGCCCCCTGTACATCACCACCACCAGCCCCACGCCACGCCCCTGTACGCATCATCACCGCCGCCACGCCCCTGTACGCCACGCCTTACGCATCACACCGCCACCCACGCCCCTGTACGCATCATCACGCTATCACCACACCGCCACGCCCCCTGTACGCATCACACCGCCACGCCCCTGTACATCACCACCTCCACGCCACGCCCCCTGTACACATCAACCACCGCCACGCCCCCTGTACACATCACCACACAGCCACGCCCCCTGTACACATCACCACCACCACGCCCCCTGTACGCATCATCACCACCGCCACGCCCCCTGTACGTTTTGAATGTTTACTGCTTTGAATCATGGGAAATTGAGTTCAGTTTTGTTGTGGTTCGTTTCGAGGTCTTGAGTTACGAGAATCCAAATATCATGAGATTTCGTTTGTTGTTGTTGTTGTTGTTGTTGTGGGCGGTTCTACGTGCAGCTCTGATGGTGGAAAGTTCAGGAGTTGCCATGGTGACACATTAGCGAACGCAGACAAAAAAAACAATTTAAGATCTGTGTAAAACTCACTCAAAAACTGACAGCGTGACGTTTAAAGAGATCAGTCTGAGCGTTCATGATGTTTGGGAGTTTGATTTTCAACTCAAAGGTGAAAGTGACTCACTGAAAAACTGCTGACTAATGCTAACGCTAATGCTAATGCTAATGCTAATGCGAGTTTGTGACTGTAACGTTATTTGAGGGACGTGTTTAACAGCTCAGAAAAAAGATCACTATATCGAGATAAGTATCGTATCGTGGTCGATGTATCGGGACAGTTTTGCGTCACGGTCGTTTTGAAACACCATTTTCTGTATTTTAGCTAAAAATGACGATACATCCTCTTTTTTTTACTTATTTATTTATTTCATAAACTATAAAAGACAATTAACCAGGACTAAACCAGGACTAAACCAGGTCTAAACCAGATCTAAACCAGGTCTAAACCAGGACTAAACCAGAACTAAACCATGACTCTAAACCAGGTCTAAAAACTAAACCAGGTCTAAACCAGGACTAAACAAGGTCTAAAACAGGACTAAACCAAAACTAAACCAGTTCTAAACCAGTTCTAAACCAGTTCTAAACCAGGACTAAACCAGGACTAAACCAGGACTAAACAAGGTCTAAAACAGGACTAAACCAGGACTAAACCAGATATAAACAGGACTAAACCAGGTCTAAACCAGGACTAAACCAGGACTAAACCAGATCTAAACCAGATCTAAACCAGGACTAAACCAAGACTAAACCAGGTCTAAACCAGGACTAAACCAGGTCTAACCAGGACTAAACCAGGTCCAAACCAGGTCTAAACTAGATCTAAACCAGGACTAAACCAGATCTGGACAGGACTAAACCAGGTCTAAACCAGGACTAAACCAGACTAAACCAGGTCCTAAACCAGGTCTAAACCAGGACTAAACCAGGACTAAACCAGGTCTAAACCAGGACTAAACCAGGTCTAAACCAGGACTAAACCAGGACTAAACCAGGACTAAACCAGGTCTAAACCAGGTCTAAACCAGGACTAAACCTCAAAAATCCCTATAAAAACACACTGTGACTGTGAGCGGCGTCGCCTCTCCACAGACCTGACCTGTAAATTAGTTTCTGTGGAGATAGAGAGGTTTAATGTCACACTGTGGAACATTCCAGACAAAACGTGCTTGGTCACGGGCGTGCACGTGCGTGGTCATGGGCGTGCACGTGGAGGGAGGTGATATTGATTACGTGGAACATGAGACGGATCCACACGGAGGAAGAAGAAGAAGAAGAAGAAGAGGAGGAGGAGGAGGAGGAGGAAGGGCAGAGTGTGAGGCTCAATAACAGGACAGAGACTGAGGGTTCAATTCTGTGAGTCAGAGTCTCAACCATTTCAGGCTCAAATAAAATTTTTGTAACAGGAAAAAATCTGATATTTGGGGACAATGATCATACAGGAGCACACACACACACACACACACACACACACACACACACACACACACACACACACACACACACACACACACACACACACACACACACACACACACACACACACACACACACACACACACACACACACACAGCACACACACACACACATACACACACACACACACACACACACACACACACACACACACACACACACACACACACACACACACACACACACACACACACACACACACACACACATACACACACACACACACACACACACACACACACACACACACACACACACACACACACACACACACACACACACACACATGCACACACACACACACACACACACACACACACACACACACACACACACACACACACACACACACACACACACACACACACACACACACACACACATCACACACACACACACACATTCACACACACACACACACACACATTCACACACACATTCACACACACATTCACACACCAGTGTACACAGACACTGGGGGCAATAGGGCTGAGTATCATTAAGAAGTCGCCGATACGATACATACCTCGATACTCAGGCCACGATACGATACATATCTCGATACAGTGCACTTTCGATTCGATATGTTATATTTCAAATCGATTCAATACAGTTCAATAAAAAATTAAGGCTAAATCATGGCTGTGGCACTAAAAGTTTTTGTTAAATCAATTCTTCTTGTGCAAAGTTCATATGAAACAAACATTTTAATCATCAAAAGAGTAAAAATGTCAAAGGTGTCGCATAAACGAGTTTCACTTTCACTAAACAAACAACAAAACTGTAGCTGGAACAAAATAATTTAGTAAAACACACCTAAAAATACTCTTGGTGATATATCGATACAATAGCCCACGATATCGATACTGTATCATCACATTAAACAATACAATATACCGATATTTTTGCACACAACTAGTGGGCAAGGTGGGTTAAGTGTCTTGCCCAAGGACACAACAACAGCATTCATCTGTGGGAGCTGGAATCACACCAGTGGATCCGACACTCAACCTGGGATGTTTTTTATGTCGAGATCCGGATTCGAACCACCAACCTTCAGATCAGTGGGCGAATGCTCGACCAGCTGAGCTCCTGCCGCCCGATCTGAAGGCAAACTTTATGTGTTCACCACTTTTCATCACAGTGAAAACTTAAAGCTCAGTGTAACATCTTTACAGCGGCAGAACAACAGCACTTTTTCATGTGATGCTCCAAGAAACAATTTTTATCCTTTGTAAACAACAAAAGTATTTTACACTTCTGGCAGGTCGTTTGTGTGGAGTCGTTGTTCTTGCACAATCTGCATCGTCCACGTTTATCTGCATGGACGGGAAAAAGGCTCCTTGTTAGAGCCCGACCGATATGGATTTTGCTGTGGCCGATATGAAACCGATATAATGGGAGTTGGAGCTGCCGATATAATCACCGATATATTTAGTGATGTAAAAATTCACTGTAAATGTTGAATTGGCTCTGGTGGATTTTGAATTGGGTTTATTTAGGCAACATTTATTGTTCTTCTGCCTCTTTACATCATATTTACAGACAGTAGTTTGTTTAATGGCATTTTTGCATCACATTCTAGACACTAGTGATGTTTATTCCAGTTCTTTTTAGAGAACCGGCTCTTTTGGCTCGGCTCACTAAAAGCTGCTGGTTCTTTTGGCTCCCAAGTGGCTCTTCAGATTGTTTTGTTGCAAGCAGGACTAAAGCAGGTCTAAAGCAGGACTGAATCAGGACTGAACCAGGTCTAAAACCAGGACTGAAAAAGGACTAGGACTTATTTTATTTTATGCTAAACTACAGTCAAATATGCTCGTTTTTTTTTTTTTTTTTTTTTTTTTTTTTTAATCCTACGTACACGCAAATTTCTCAAAGTTTCGTTTTGAGCCGCTGCCGCTGTCAAACCACGAGTCTGCACGCGGCGTGAACAGAAAAAAGTGAGAGAAACGAGAAAACACGGCTCCCAATAAGGATCAGGCTCCCGTCGTTCCTTCAAAGAGCCGGTTCCAAGAGTCATTTTCGTTCGGCGACGGACCCATAACTAGTAAAGAAAGTAGCGCT